ATGACCTCGACGCTGCGGGTATATCCCATAATAATAAGTTAATTTTTTAAGCAAAAAACGCAAGCTTTACAGCCGCAGGATCTAACCCGCATCCTCATGTCTTGCGCATATATCCCTAACCAGTCCATCCACAAGTAACTTCCATACGAGAGATTGTTTTTCCTCGTACTATAGTCATCCGATTTTGAAATGAGAATTTGGAATCCTAAATGAATTCAAATGAAAAAGCTTTCAACTAAAAATTTGTTGATATAGTTGAGATCTACACCTTTTATTTTGGTCATTTCTCCATCTGAGGTTGTTTAAAAAAATTCACATTTAAAATTTTAAATTTTTTCTCACATTTAAAATTTGTATTTTAAAAATTTTCTCCATCTGGAACTAGAGCGGCCTCTAAAAATAGGGGTATTTGTAGAGGAGCCAGAGAATACCTGACTTTCTTAGAAATATGTTTCTAGAGGTAGCTCGTGTTAGGAACCATTTTTAGAGACGGTTTTAGATTGAGACGTCCCTATTGAAAAAAGGATGCGTCTCTACAAATACTTTTTTAGTAGTGTCATGTACGACTCATGAAGTATGATAATGTCTATGAAATAGTTTCAAGCAGATTGCATATTGACAATTAACTATTTTAACAACATGGTCACCGCTGGGGATAAAGAGATTTTTTGACTGTGCCAACTCTTGCTACTCCTATCTAAATGCATATTTTCCAATAAGGTAACCTAGATGTAAGAAACTAGAGACTACAGCCATGAAGATGAGGATGATTATGACAATATGGTGGTGAAGACTACAATTTTGATGGTGACGAGGATTATAGCAATTATGATGATAAAGACTATGGCTCTTAAGCCCTCGTTTTTTGTCCCTAATTATGACCTTTGGTGATGAGGAAAGGATATACACTTCTTTATCCACTAAACAAATTGTCTAATGCGTAATGAACAATGGTGCCTTAGACAAGTATTTTCAATCACATTGTGGTCATGTGTAGAAGCATGTTAGAGGATCTCCAATAGTTCTCCAATTGGTAAATCAATTAGTTTTCATGGCCCAAAAAAAGCTGGGAGGATATTTGTTGGATTCCTCCAATAGTTTCCAAAATCTCACTCCCAAATATAAAAGACAATTTTTTAGCAGGAATCGTAGACTATTTCTAAATCACCCTAACCACTTTTATACTTTCTTTCTCTCTTGTACATTTGTATTGAGAACCCTGTCTTACTCTTTATTCTTCTTCCACGTCCAACGCGCGTATATTTATGCATGAATGGGTAAAATTTTCCCAAGTGCGAAAAGATTAGGAGTTGAGATTAGGAGTTGTTGGAGAGCAGTGTTTTTATTTTAATCTTGCCAAAAAATCAAGATTGAGAGTGGATTTTGGAAACTCTTGGAGATGCTCTTATTTGCTACATTCTTCATATTGACAGCTTCCTTCCATACTTATTGTTTTGGATGAAATATGGGATCTGAAACAAACTTTCATTGATACTCTTGGCGACATAATCTTAGCTGCTATTATTGTTACCATTGTGAACGCATTCAACTATTGGGATATGATAAAATTAAATAGTAAAATATACTCCTTTCGTGAAGAAAATCTCTTTATGTTTTAGGACTTTTATTTAGGACACTATTCAAAAAATTACAAATGTACCCCTTATTTATTTAAGGTGAACCATGCTAATTAAGGAATAAGTCTCTCATTATGTAATATACATTCATAGTATGAAATTGGTGTTATATAGATATAATGTTGATACTCATCTCTATTAACATGGTCAAATTTAAAATGGTTTGACTTTGGGAAAATTAGAATCGAAAGTAGGATTACATGTAAGCAGAATCTTAGTTGTTTTTCTCGTGGATCACTTTTAAAAATAGAAAACAATCCCTGTATGACACTATTAAACTTATGACTTACTCCCTCTGATTTCCTAAAGAATGTCGTTTTAGACAGCGACACGGTCTTCAAAAAACAACTTTAACTGTTACTTTTTGCTATAAAATATTTATAAAATATAGTCAATATATACTTTTATGAAACTACATTTCGAGATGAATCTACCTACATCACATTCATATTTTCAAACTCAACCCCAGAGAATTTATTTATAGTTAATGCTTAAAATGTTTGACTTACAACAACCTCAAAACGATATCCTTTAGGAAACCGGAGGGAGGATTTCTCCTATGGCCGTGAAAACTTTAGACTTCTCTATTTGACAGTCTTTGAATTCATTCTCTATGTGATACTACCGTGATCAGTATTGAGGGCTAAATATCGTTAACTAACACGCAAAAGGACCAAAACACCTCTAATGTAAGAAAATGCACTTATGCTCAGTATGGCACTGTTTCATTTATGCAAATACGTGGTCTTATTTGGGCCCTGATTATGTGCTTAACTAGGTCATTTTGGTGAAAATAATAATTATTAATTAAATTCATCCACATTATAAATCATTTTGTGCTTTCGGTACGTGTTATTTAAACATCCTTTTATTAAATTTCATCCATATTATATAAATAAATGTATGCTTGCTAGTACGCGTTATTTAGGAATTATTTTATTAAATTTTATCCACATTATATAAATTAATTTATGTTTTTATTAAATTTGATCCACTTTATATAATGTTGGGATGGACAGCGCAGTAGAATAATTATTACGGCTCAATTAACAACTATTGTTTATTTAATATTATATATAGATGTATTGTTGGTACTCCTCTATAAACATGGTCAAAATTTAAGATGGTTTGACTCCGTGAAAATTAGAATGACTAGTAGTAGGATTACATGTAATCACTACCTTTATTTTCTCGTGGATAACCTTTAATAAATATCAATATAAATAGATAATTTTCATTGAGCACTATTTGTCCTCAAAATTCTAAAAACATTGAATATTTTGGGATGAGGGGTTATAACGTAGTATTACTGCTCTATCATCACCTAGAGTTTATGCTGAAATTTTAAGTTTCCATAATATTGTAACACCCTAAAATTTTCATTGTTTTTAAATAGGAGAAAATGATTTAATTATGTATTTTGTGAGCATTGAAATTTAGAAAAATAATAACTTTGTTAAAGTTAAAATCAAATATAGGTCTACATACATGTCTATGCATTTATGCTGCTGCATATTATTTTTGAATTGTGTGATTTGAAATCAAACTTCAAATTGATTTGAATCTGCATTTCAAAATTGGTTTGGAAAATTAGAAAAGAAAAAAGAGAAATTTCATTTTCCCTCTCCCTCTATTCGGCCTGTTGGCCCAGTCCCGCCGGCCCAGCTCCGTCCGCACGTCAACTTCACCCGCGCTACTCCCTCTCCCGCTCTTGGGCCGCCCCGCTTTCCTTTGTTTATCGCGCGAAGGACGAAGCCCGGCAAGCAAGTCGGCCCGTAGAGCGACACAGTCGCTCCCTTCTCTCACCGACACGATGGCCCTAGTGGTCAGCCATCTTCTTTCAGCTCGTGTCCGAGCAGGACACCTCGCCACCATGACCGCCTCTGCTACGAGCCCTCGCGGAGGCGTGTTCCCTATGCTTCGCGGTTCATAAATACCGAGACTTGCACCACCGCCCCCTCATCCAGCTTTGTGAGCAAGCCGCAGCCGCCCCGTGCCCTAAAACAGCGCCGCCATGAGCTTGGAGATCCACCACCGCCATCGGTTTGCCACGCCGCCGCTTCTCCGCCTCCGCGACTGCCTAGCCGAGCTTCTAAGCGAGGTAAGCAAGCTCCGAAACCCATTTTTCCTTCTTCCTTGTTTTCTACCGCCGGTGCCGCGTCGTCGATGTTTCTCCGGCGAGCTTGAGCCACCCCATCTAGCACAGTTTCACCCTCGGGCCATCTCTGCCGCCCTAGTCCCCTCCATCATGTTCGACTCGTTCTCCTCTTGCTCCTTGACCTTCTCCCGAGCCAAATGGTGGCAGGAGTCACCGGTTCGACGAACTCCAGCGAGGTCGGGCCAATTCCAGCCATGGCGCCGTCGTGCACAGTGCCACTCCGGTGACCCCATCTCCCTCTCTTTTATCTTAGCCATCCAAGTCAGATCCAATGGTCAACAGAGCCCGATACCCCTTCGCCTGTCATTTTGCAAAAAGGCCCTTACAATTATTTGGATCTTAACCCGCTGTCCCTGCATTTATGCTAAAGAGTCCCTCGGATTTTTAGTTATAGAACCCGCAGTCCAAAGCACAATCATAGAATATGCTTTGTTCTTTTAAAAGTGTAGTTTCCTTCGGTTTAGATTCAAAATAAGTTTTCATCTATTTATAGTTCTGCCACTAATCTTGTTTTAGCCATAAAATCTTTGTTTTAACTCCGATTTGGTCCGTTCAAGTTGCGTTAGGTTCGTAATTCCATAATCTACATATTCATAATATTGTTAAGTATGTTTTCAACTTCTAAAATTCAAGGTTAGCTTTAATCTATTATTTTACTAAAGAAAATCTTGTTTAATTCATAACTTATTCGTTTTAGCTCTGATTTTTGTGTTCTTCGCGTCTGTGTGTTCATAGTGAGACGTAGATTCGTTTTACAAACTTTTCATATTGATTTTACACTGATTGGTGTACTGTTCTAATCTATAGCTTTTGTTTGTTATGTATGATTGCTTCTAGATGCTTGTATGTTGCCAGGATTATCCAGTATAGACGGTGAGCAATTCATGGGTGAACAAGAGTACTACTTTGACAAGCAGGATTAGCAGGAGCACATATAATATTTACGTGAAGACTCTGTCTTATTATTGGTGATGTGATAAACACTTATGATGATACTATTCATAATTTGTCGGCTTATGTGTGTGACTGATCTCTGAGCACATATAATATTTTACATCCTATTTTATCTTTTAATCGGGTGTGATAAATATCCTAATAATCTTTTAATTTCTTCCTAAAAAATTAAGTGCCCTCCGGCTTGGAGCAGCACTATTTAAGTGCCCTCCGGCTTGATTCCCTTATCACGGCCACAACTTGTAGAAGCCATGACGACCATGAACACCTGCAGCCTCCTCCTCGTCGCTGTCGCCACCGCCGTCGTCTCCGTTGTCTGCTCTTTCGCCCCCTTGCCGTCGCCGGCTACCACAGACCCCGACCCCGACCCCTACCCCTGCCCATGGAGGACGGTGGCTCACCCTGACGACCCCTTCATCCAGAACCTCGGCAGCTGGGCGGTGGACCAGCTGCATATCGTGATGCGCTTCAACAAGGTGGATAGCGCCAAGTTGCAGGGAGTCGGCCAGTGCACCAGCCTGACCCGCAACTACTACTACGAGCTCATCATCGACTCGTCCCTCCGCGGCTCGGGCTCCAGCTCCGGCGACGACTACAGGTACAGGGCGGTGGTGTACGTGATCAATTTTACCCAGCCACAGAAGCTGATGTCCTTCGAGGCCATCCCGCCGCACCGGCCGGGCCGCCGGCCGCCAACTGATGAGCATGCATGCGCCTACTTATTGTTGTGTAAGGTGAGTCTCAGTGACGAGTTTTATAGCGTTGTTTTCAAAAATACCAACTCAAATAAAATGAAATAAAAGTTGAATGAAACAACTACTCTCAATGTATAGTTTCATTTTATAGTTTCATAAACATTTAATTTCATAACTCATTGTGAGTTGGTAACTGTGCCAAGAGAGTTTCATTCCCATGAAACTTGTTTCTTCTCCCTCTTCTTAAATATGGACATAATCCAAAATGCATACGCGGCAGCTTATTAAATACAGATGAAATTCGAATGAAACTCCACTAAGACTGGCCTAACTAGCCATCAATTTCGTACATGCGAATCTAGCTAGTTTGTATCGTTCCATTTTATTTACCAATTATATACTTTCTTATAATAACAGAAACTAGTAGTACTCACTCCATCCTAAAATACATGCACTTCTAAGTTTGGAGATAACGATGCTACTAATAAAATGACATATCTACCCCTATAAAGTCTAATCGAGCATGTAATAATTGCACATTGAAAATAGAGAAAGCTAAAAAAAACTAAAATTAACTAATCTATAGCCATATGTGCACTTATTATGGGGTAAATTTTGAATCTAAGAGAGCATTTATTTTAGGATCGAGCGAGTACAAATTAATACCCGTTGTGTGCAATCTGTACAAGTGAATAGTTGGTGTCCCTGGTGACTCGTATGATCAGCGAGAAGACAGTGGAAAATCTATCCATATCAGAGATGATGGCCACGTCCAACAGTGGCACGATGGCACGAGAAGGCATGGCTGCAACTGAAAAATATATAGGGTGTGGTTTGAGTAATCAAACCACACTTATACTACTTATTAATTTATATGAGAAATCTCATGATAATATATTAATTCATTTCATTCTAGAAATCAAATATATAGTGCGGAAAATACCGCTGATGTAGGAGAGACATGAGTGAAAGAGGGTGAAATGATTAGGGTTTCCATAGTTTTCTTTCACGGTCATGCTCATACCAACTTTGTCCAGCTCGAAAATGCCGTCCGTGCAGCTCTCACTCCGTGCCGCCGCCTAGGGACCCTATCCTTCTTCCTCTCCAGTGTGTCTGCCGGAGATAAGAAGGAGAGGGGACCTATCTCTTTTCCATAAATTTTATATCTAGTTTCTTAGTGTTTAGTTCAAAAAAATCTACCAACGAAATCAGATGATTCTCGATCGAGATCTTATTTTCTGCGATGATTTCAATGATTGCCACGATGAGATTGCTGTTGCAGGCGTCGATTTCATCGGTAGGCGGCTAATTTGTGGCCATTATCTACAAGGGGAGAGGGTGCTTCTGGGCACTACCAACGAGGACAATTACTCCGTTCATCAATCTCATCGTCGATGGTCGCGAAGAGAAAATCAAGGATTGAATGTGACCAATCTGCATCCTATGTTGTACTCAACGATGCAACTATCGATATTCTTTCTTCAATTCAGATGCATTTTAGATCTTGCGGCATGTCCAATGTTTTGGGTTGGTCACTGGATTCAACATAGCTTTGTTCATCTAGAGCATCAGTTGCATCGAGGAAAGCCACTAGGGAAGAAGACCATGCAAGAAAAGAATATTTTGTATTTTTATTTTAGCATTTTTTATGAGTAATTTAGGGATTTACTATATATGTTGAGTCTTAGTATAATCCTCTTCCCTTCGCAAAAGGAAAACGATTAGGGTTTGGGGATGCAGGACAAAGTGTGGGGGAGGAGGATTGTCTAATTATATACACAAGGCGGATAATAAGCTTAGTCAGGCCGACCATTATATCGGGTTGTGTCCGTGCCACAATGGGCCTTACCAAATGCCAAGCATGGCACTAGGGTAGGGGCCATGCCAGTCGAGCCCTATAAGGTTTGGACCGTGTTTGTGCTTAGGGCTGGGCCTAACTTGCAGGTCTTGTGCTAGCCTATTATTTGGTCTAGCCCATGATCTTGAAATCTATAACCAGGAACTAGCAAAGAATACCCTAAAAAAAGGAACTAGCAAAGAATGTCATGATTTGAGTTTTAACCAACTAGGCAAGTAACAAACATGGCGATCAACATGACAACATCCAAGACATGCATAGTGCAATCTGACAAAAAGCCACCCTAATACAATCCTGACTAAAACGAGCTGGCCTAAAAGAACAATTTGGCTAGAAGCAAATTAAATGATAAGAGTGTAGCGCCTCGCCTAGGATCCAAAATGACAGAAAGAAAAGGGTGAATGACCACTACAGGAGAAACGACCTTTAGTTCGGGTTCCTAACCCCCAAATTGACTATATAATTGGGACTAAAGGTCTCGATTTTTAGTCCTGGTTCTTAGTCCTGGTTCCTACAACTGAGACTGAAGGTGTTCATTGAGTAAAAGAAAGGTGGGGTGTGGAGATTCAAACTCAAGACCTCTCACATCTGACAAAGGTAAGGTACGCTTTCCTGTTAAATTCACTCTAGAGGCACATTTAGTCTCGATTTGTGTATAAACTGGGACTAAAGGTACCTTTATTCTGGGTTCGTGTAACACCCCAGAGTCCAAACGGCTTAGATCCACTCTATACGCTGAGTGGTCGGATCTAATACCATTTGTAACGCCTTAGAGTCCAAACGACTTAGATCCCACTCTACACGCTGAGTGAACCACACCTCTCACCATCTCACTTATGCTTTCGTCCTCGCTTCACATAAAAAGATCAACTCACGGATGGTGGGATGGACTCTAGAAGCCTTATATCTTGGTCTAACCCACCCTAAACAAACAAGATGTGACTAAACCCTTCACAATATCTCATTAACATGCACATGGGACATTATAGGCCAAATTCCAAAATGAGCCGGATGTCATAGTTTGTGTCTCAAACCGAGACTAAAAGTCCCACACCCACACTGACATGCCTTGGTGACTGTTACAACCGGACTAATTAAAAGGTGGAATTAGTCCCCATTTGTATTATAAACCTAGACTAAAGGTCCCAGGCCCCCTTAGTCCTAGTTGCAATTTTAAACTAGGACTAAATATTTTTTGGTCATCGATGAAAAGTCATTTCTCCACTGGTGGACCTAGGAGTAGTGGACCTAGGAGCAAGGACACCATTGCTTCTCTTGTTGGTTTGAGTCCCTGAAAATCGAGTGAGGCCCTCAACCCTAACAGCATGTGTATACATATACGTTGAAAAGGTCACCAAATCACCAATTTGCATGTGACTCTGCTAAAAAAAACAATTTGCCTGCGACAACTCAAAAAATGAAGACACATGGAATCAAAATGACGCGGTGTGTATAAGAACTCACTGCTACGTAATAGCACTTCACTGTCGGTTCAAAACACCCCATCACTGTCGTATTTTGAACCGGCACAACCATACCGGCAGTGATGAGGGTCAGCTATCATTGTCCGTTCCTACAAACCGGTAGTGTTCTTCAACTTCACTGCCGGTTCTTTACACAACCCGGCAGAGTTCAGTTCCACCATCACTGTCGGTTCATGAGACTACCCAGCAGAGTTCAGTTCCACCAACACTGTCGGTTTGTGTTTAACCAGCAGTGTTGTCGTAACCAGCACTGTCGGTTTGTGACAAGAACCGGCAGTGATGGCTAAGCTAACGCTGCCGGTTTGTGCCTCAAGCCGGCAGTGCCATCTTGTCCATCACTGCCGGTTTGTTGCTAACCGGCAGTGACGGTTACGACAACACTGCCGGTTTGTTGCTAACCGGCAGTGATGGCCCGTTCGCATTTTATTGTTTTATAACTTATTTTAATTTATATTTTTTCGTAGAATCGGGTTTCGCTTTATATACGCTACGTAGACGACAGGTCCATCAATATTAAACATTACTAATGTTACGGTTACAGTTCAAATGTTCTTATCAAGATCTCGATCTCTGAAAATAAAAAAGAAATTATTCGATAAGATGAAGCATGCTTCTCAGACTTCTTACAATAATCTAGCGAGCCGCTCTGGGCCATACTAGTCCTTGAACTTCACGGATTGTGCAATGGAAAATACTCCATCTTTTTCCAATACCTCGGCTAAGATGAATTTTGCCAACTTCGATTGCAGTGCGACGATCTCCATGTCTAACAGTCTTTCGTGGTTATTTTTCTTGCGCTGTCGTTCAAAAAAGATAATATCCAAAGAGGAATCAGTAAATCATTTTGTTGAATTATTAACAGACATAAATAAAATGGGGATTATACACACCAACTTATCTGCTTCTTTCGATTTCCCGCCGATGTAGTGAAGCATTGCCCACATTACATAAAACCCGCATTCATCGTTTCCCGTCAGCTGTTTTAGGTACTTCCCCTCCATTTCGACAATCTTGAATGGGACCTGCGTCCCACCGATGTGTTTTCTTCGGATACTGTGCAACATTAAGAGGAGAAATATTAGAAAGCGGTATGACTAGAAAACAATATGTTATTAGGATCACTTACTAATTCAGCACTGCCACCGATGCATCCAGATGATGAAATGGTTTTTTCTTCGAGTCCCACACCTCGATCAGATTTTTAGCGAGATTGACACAAATAAAGACGAAATGGTTGCTGCAATCATAAAATCCTAATTATCGAATAATCTCAATGAAAAAAAAGCATAAAATTAAAAGCCAAGAACACATACTCGCAGTTGTAGGCTAGAAGTATGTGGGTTTTATTCTTCATCTTGAATTCATCGAAAATAGCAATCAATCTCTCTTTCAGGTCTTCCACGTCACATCCATGGAGGCATAAACATGTCTTCTCATTGACTCGCAACGGGTCCAAGAAGCCTATGTTATCTCATTTGCTTTTTAGTATGCAAAATTTTGCTATACATCTACATAAAATCATAGGAATTGCTCAAAAGTTATCAATTTGTGTCTCAAGAGAGTAGTTAATTATAATATCGTGCATATAGGGTACTTACATAGTCCATAGCGTCAAGATTTGTGAATCGAGAGAGCGTTTCTGTATAGCTGGAACAAGCACTCCCACTCAACATCGAACTTCTCTTCTTTAGGATAATGAAAAACATGTGGTGAACGGATAATAACCTCAAAACCAAAGTCCTCCGTCTCTGTTGCTTGAGCTATGTAATATTCATGCAACTGGCGCATATATGTTGTCAAATTTTTATACTCATCATCGGGAACCAAAAGATTGCCCCTTTCATACTTTATTGTCGGTGTTCCTGTCCCTTGTACATCATAATAGATGTCCGCGGCCTCTTCCATGGTTAATTCGAGGTTGTCTTTGACGTAGTTTTGTATCTTCCTTAAATCTTCATTGTGTATTTCATCGGCTCTTATTGTAGCGTACTGATTCTGTGTTTGTCTTTTGAATTCGGACTTCAACAAACATGGAGGTAGTGAGGCATAGAGATTGAAGAAACTAACACAATCTTCCTTCGA